CCTGAACAGGGAATGAAAAGGGTATGAAGAGGGTCTGAAAAGTGTATGAAAAGGGCATGAAAAGAGTATGAAAGGGTATGGACAGGGTACGAACAGGGTATGAAAAGGGTATGAACAGGGCATGAAAAGGGCGTGAAAAGGGTATGAAAAGGGTATGAAAAAAAGGGCGCGAACAGGGTATGAAAAGGGTATCAACAGTATGGCAAGGGCATGAAAAGGGATGAAAAGGGTATGAAAATGGTATGAAACTGTATGAAAATGGCATGAAAACTGTATGAAAAGGGTATAAATAGGATATGAAAAGGGTATGCTCCTCTCTCAGCCATGGCCATGGCTGTGTCGTCATGCCCAAACCCCACACACACACACAGGTCGAACAAGTGGCTTCCTCTTCCTGACGGTTCTCCAGCAAGGCCATCGCAATCTGGAAGCCCCTCACTCCCAAAAGGGTATGAAATGAAAAGGGTATGAAAAGGGAAGTCGGACGCTGTAGGGAATCGGAATGCCATGGCTTCATATGTGGTGATCCCATCCACTGTCATGACAAGATAGTCAGACGCAGCACGCCCAAAAGCCACACTGGGATGAACCGTGGGGTTGAGGGAGGAGACGTTGTCTCCTGGGAGGCTTGAAGCCAGAATGGCCACGTCCGGTCATTCGAACATTCACTTTAGTACCAGAGGAAGCTGTAGTATCAAGTACTAACAATTGCAGGACTTGGACAGACACGAGAAGAGAGGCTTTGCGACAGCAAAAGAAAGGAGGAGCCTTGCAAAGCTAACAAACTATTCCTCATCCTATATATTTGGCAAATAGCAGGTTCAGTTCATTTTTGAGAGCTTCGGCCCAACAGCACACCGAAGACACGATTCACAGAAAAAGCATGAAAAAGCACTAGACAGCGGCGTCAATGTTGCAAACACCTGAAAAAAACACATCAAGATCACACTCACACACCGATAATTTTGCACCTCGATGACAGAGCTGCAATGATCTGCATACTATATAGTCGAAGCTTCATGTGTCCTCGCAAAATGCATGCCTAAGCCGGAACAAACTATGACACCTCAAGAGACTTAAGAGAAGTGCCTCAAATATTGCACACCACCTGATTTGCTACACGGTCTTGGTAAATGAGATGCCTTTACATGCCACAAATCCAACAAAACCTCGTCTGACATTTTGCGATTTTCAGTGGCGACTGGGCTGAAATGGCTTTCGGCTTTGAAATCAAAATGCACAAAGTGCGTTGATTCAGCAAAGACTCAGCAAATTGGAGCATGTTCGGGCCAATTCGGGGTCAGCCAGCTTGCTGTGCTTTCTGAGACCTTTTTGCATCCTTCCGCAGGGCTTCAACAAGCAAACCCCAAGCGCCATCCGAATGCGCCTTTGCCTGCATTGCAATGAGTCCAATGGTGCCTACATTCCAGGATTGAGTATGCCTCTGTTTGCCATCTAGCACGTCTATTAGATCATCAGCACGCTCCATCTGGCTCTGCTCTGTGGAACTGCCCATGAAGAGTGTGTAGCTGTAAACATGAGAGGAATCGAGAAACCAACTGGAGTGCCTCGAGCGCGACCTGCGACTCCGCCTTTGACCTTGTGCCAAATCAGCTTCGGTCCGCCCTTCTGGATTTTCCAATATGCCTTCGTAGGCCTTTTGAACAAATTCATAAGGCTCTTTTACTCCAAGCCACGCTCTTTTTGATCCCAGGAGGATTGCCTTCTCGACCTGTGCATCGGACTGACTCGGCTGACAGTTGAACAAAATTGAAAGCGTTGCACAGCGCTAGCGCCTCTAGCGCTCTATTGGTGAAGGGTTTTCCGCGTTCTCTATATTCCGGTCTAGCCTCGTCGTTTGTCAGGATGCCATTGATGCCTCGAAGCAACATATGAAGAATGTCTTGAGACTGTTTGAGCATGTTCCTGTTTCTGTTCTTGAATTATTGGCAAGACATGGCATCTGAAACAGGGATCCCCAAACTGCCACGTGGCTTGAACCCTGTCGGGTATTCTGGTTTGCCTTCCTGGTTTGAACTGCAACAAAAAGTACCATTGCATGTTGCTAACCCCATTCAACAAGGCATCAGGATGTCTCTTTCTCTGTTCCACAACGTCATATGACGTTCCCTGAATGTGTTTATGTTTTCATCTGTCTATGTCACCCAACAGTCAAATCTGCAAACAAGTACCCTATACCTTGATCTTGAGTTAATTCACTGATATCCCATCCGAATACCGCCATAGCGGTCCAAACATGTTCTCCATCCACACACCAAATAACAATTGCTCCAATCTGTAGCGGGTCCCTGTGCCTCTTGCATACAGGGAAAATGGATTAAAACTGAACATCGATTTGATTTGATCTGCTACTATTGGTTGATCTCCAGTATTCCCTTGCATTCACTTGGAATTCGAGACTCTTTTTGAAAAAAACAACTATCAAGACTCGAAGACAAACCTGATAAAACGGAATTGCGATCAACTTCTTCATTTTCAATCATTCTTAACCTCTCAACTTGGATCCTCACCTGCCACCTGCCAGCGTCGCTCTGCTGCAACTCGGAGGAGCTGCTGGGAGTTGCTGCGCCTCAAAAAGGAGGTGACATACTTAAGCTCTCCTCCTACCTGTATCTAATAGCGAAGACCTCCAACCTACTAGCGATGACCTCCAACCTACTAGCGATGATCTCCAACCTAATAGCGATGACCTCCAACCTACTAGCGATGACCTCCAACCTACTAGCGATGACCTCCAACCTAATAGCGATGACCTCCAACCTACTAGCGATGACCTCCAACCTAATAGCGATGACCTCCAACCTACTAGC